TGCTGGTGCGGGGGGCAGTGGCACGGGTGGCTGCCCCCTGCTCCTCCTGGGGAGGTCCAGTCCCCTCGGCTGCCCCGGCCAGGCTGTGCGAGTCCCGCCGGCGGCCCCAGCCACCTGCCTCCCCCTGCTCCTCCTTCACCTTCACTGATGCAGCAGCACAGGGGTGCTCAGCCCCCCCAGACATAGGTTTACGGTCCTCAGCATCTGAATCGGGGCTGTGGGGGGCCCGGCCCCCTGGGATGGCCATCCCACTGCTCTGCTCTGGATCTGTGTCATTGTCCTGAGCACCCTCCACCAGCATCTCCCGGCGCATCCGTGACCTGCCAGGACACAATCACCAAAGGTCAGGGACTGCCACCCATCATGTCTTGATAAAACACCTACAACCAGGAAAACGTGGTGACATTGACACATAAAACCCCACCTTATCAGCCTTTACAAGCATTTTTTTTAGGGGAAAAATCACTGCAGCTTGAATCAGGGGACCTGATTTTGCAAAATTTTGGGCTGTTTCCAGCTAAAACAAACCAGTTTTGAAGTGGTTTCCAACATGAATTGGTCAAAGCAGTCAACAACTCTTGACCAGCAGGCAGGGAACACCGTGACAACCCATCTGGGTCTGCACCTCCCTGTCTAGGCAACAGGAACTGAGAGGGCTGCAAGAGGAACAGTGACACCGATTTGGTGGCACGGCACCATGAGACCATACCTGTAGTTGTGGAACCAATTGATGACGGTGTTGGTCTTGAGGTTGAGCTGGAAGGAGAGCAGCTCGATGGTCTGCTGGGAGGGGTAGGGCTCCAGCTGGTAGGCTTTCTTCAGGGCTTCCTTCTCCTCCGGGGCCAGCACCACCCGTGGCTTCTTGATCTGGAGGAGGCTGAGGTCCTGTGGCTGCAGGCCAGGGCTGGCACAGTCGGAACGGGTGCTGGGGGACTCGCTGTCCGAGCCGGCGCTCATCAGCCCGTACCGCCGTTTCAGGTAGGCTGCAGGAGAGGACACCCAGCTGTGTGCCGCTCACCCCCAGCCCAGGGAGACCCCCGCTCAGCCAGCACCCCAGACCTACTGGGGCTGCATCGCCTTCACCCTCACCTTTCTTCTCCAGCTTCTTCATGTCACGCAGCTTCTCCACGTTTTGGGGGTCGTTGAGCCAGAGCTGCATGCGGACGAAGGGCTCCCTCCCCTTCAGGCTCAGTTTGTGCCACGGCTTGGGCCTGGAGAGGAGATCGGACACCGAGCCCTGCGTCAGGCCCAGGATGCTCTCCCCAAACAGCCGCTGGCCTGGCAGAGGAGAAGCAGAGGTGGTTAGAGCTGGGCAGAGTCAGTAGGACGGGTCCTACAGTCCCCCCATGGAGAGGGTGGACCCCGTCTCCCAGCCAGCAACCTCCCAGGATTCCCACAAGCACCCGCAGCAAACAGGGAGAGGGGTCTGTGGCTACGGGAATTGGGGTGATGCATCCATGCAGCCTCACCAGCAGCTCCCGAAAACCCAGGTGGGGAGAAGCTCCGCACCTAAATTGTTGTCCGTCAAGACCTCCTTGACCTTCTTGGTGATGGAGTAGGTGTCCAGCTCAGGGGACATGGCCACAATCTCCTGGATGCCCACAGGTCCCTGGCTGTTGGGGTACGCCTTCCCACTCAGCGCAGGCGTGGACCGGCTCTCAGGCTGCTGGTTTTCCTTGCTGCTCTCCAAGGCCAGGGTGAGAGGCTCCTGGCAGCTCTTCTCCTGCTCAGCAGGGCTGGGGGGTGGCGAGGGGGATGGCTGGGGCTCCACCGGGCTGGCTGTGTGACAGCAGGGGACAGGGCTCAGTGGGAAGGTGGCAGGGGGGAGTGTTGGGGACCCAGTGGGAGTGTGAAGGGCATTTTGGGGGGTACCCGGGGCTCTGCCCTCCAAAGTGGGGATGCCAGTCAAGTCTTCCTGGGGGCTATGGCAAAGCAGGAGGAGCCAGTGGAATAGTTAAAGAGAAAACACCATTAATATAAAAAACCCCCAACAAACCAGTTACTTTTTCATACCAGGCACAAAGCAAGGATTTTGTTTGTGGTTCCTTTTTTTTTTTTTTTTAAAACCAGATGACTTTCAAAGCCCAAAATAACATTTGAGGAACTGTATAACAGCCTTAAATTGTCAAAATGACTAATTGAGGTGGTTCAAACCAGTTGGATGCATCAGAGGAGAGGGGGATGAGTGGGGCTTCCCAGGATCAGTGTAAGGGTAGAAGGTGCTGGGACAGGGGGAGGATGTGTGGGGCAGATGCACAAGTGCCAGGGACACCAATGGCACATGGGGACTGTGGGGATGGTGGTGGCACTTACCCTGGGAAGGGGTCGGCTGCTGGCTGATGCCTTGGCCCAGCTGGTCAGTCAACCAGAGCTGCATGCGGATGAAGGGCTCCCGACCCTTCTGCGTCAGCTTGCTCCATGGCTTGGGCCGTGACAACATGTCACTCACGCTGCCCTGGGACAGTCCCAGCACCTGGGCACCGTGCAGGTGTCACTGGGCTGCTGCCTGCCCTCCGTCCCCACGCTGAGGGAGGGGAAGCAGGCTGCAGCCCTGCTGCCATGCCCGTAGCCCCATGGCACATCCAGACCCCTTGGCCCCAGCCTGTGGTGCTGGGATGGTGGTGAGTCTCCCTGGGGTACCTCCCAGGGGCTGGGAGGATGGTTCCCACAGAGTTCTGCATAGGGGACAGGGTTTTCCTAGTGAGAAGTGCCACCAACCAGTTGGTGGTGGCCACTGGGAGACTGCTCGGGGTTGGGTGAGACCCTGAGGACTCAGCATCCTCCAAGGGGAAATCCACTGGGGAGAGTGGGAACCCTGGAAGGAGCAAGGGGAGGCCACTGATGAGCCTCAGGCTCTGGGCAGCAGAGCAGACAGGACACCAGACCCCCCTTCTCCAGGCTGGTACCTTCTCTCCAAAGATCCTTTGGCAGATGCCATTCTTGGCCAACTTCTCCTTGACCTGCCGGGTTAGCTCCAACGTGTCCACCTCCCTGTACATGTACATCTCGTACTGCTCCGGTGTCAGTGGTGGCACGGTGGGCTTCAGGGTCCGCGGCACGTAGGCGGGGTAGTAGGACAGACGACCACCTGACGCCGGCTCCGCGCCCGCTCCTTCCGCCTTCATCTCCGCCAGCCGGTGGGCCTCGTCCTCTGCCGGCGGCAGGGCCCCCCCCCTTGGCGCCGCCCCCC